CATTTTGGCCCACAATGCAGTTATCCATTTCTGCAATTCCATTTTGGGTATATGGGTTTCCCCCATATTCTTTCAGCTTGGCCTCGAGCTCCTTATACATAGCCTAGGCAGTGGCTTGCTCTTCCTCATTGGCAGCCCGAATTAACTGCTCCTTCTTCTGTGCTTCCTCATGATAGCTTTCTCATGCTCGAGGAACCCCTTCTCGAGCTCCAAACTGGAGATCTCCTCCCTTAGCTTCTTTTGGCACATGAGGATGCTCTCCCAGGAGGTGGTTAGCTGTTAAAATTGCAAGCAAGGGATCAGCATGAATGTGAAAAGCATATGTGTTTGCAACATTTACCATCTTTAAGGCTTCTTCATCAGTTATTGTTTCAGCCACATCTTCTATTATGGGGCATTCAATTCTATCATCCCCAAAGTGGAATATGGCAATGGCTGCAGTATATGATGATAACCTGGAAGAGGCGTCCGGATTCCCAACAGTGTCTTTCCTCCGAGACAGCGAAGGCGCAACTGTTGTAAACCAACTTGGGTCTCGCTCTATTTCTGGATTCCCACCTTTTTCTGGGGGGACATTGCCCCCGATAGTCTTATCCCCCTCGATAGGATTACCCTCCTCGACGAGCTTATCTTCCTCGACGGACTTATCTTCCTAGACTAGCTTAATTTCCTCGACTAGCCCGTCCTTCTCGACAACAGGAGTCTGTTTCTTCTTCTTTGACTTACCGCCTGCTTCTGACGCCTTCACCAGCCTCCTCAGCTTCCTCTTCTTGCTGACTTTGTTTGAAGATCCTTCATCATCTGAATTTTTAATATAAAAAATGTTGGAGTCACCAAATAAGCCAACGGTGTTCTTGCTCGACGACATAGCCTAAAACAAAAGAAATACATAAGAGGACTCAGTACCTTTTTTATCCTTAACAGGAATTAGGGGAATATACTGCTGTACTTTTGTCCATTTGAGTCAATTTTCGAAGGATTCCGGAGCAGTAATGTCGTTCCTATGTTGCTCGATCCTGGCCTTGTCAGATTTAGTCCAGACATCCACTACAACACCCATCTCCTGGGATTCACGATAATCGCAGGTTACGCAAAAATCCTCTGGAGCCTGTACAAACAAATAATTCAGTTTCCACACTGGAGAACCGTCAAAGAGTTCTACTATCTGCTTCGCACCCGACTTGGGATTCTTCTTTACATTATACCAGTCTTTGTATTTCATCGAGGGGACACAGATTTTAAAAAAATACCTCCACACGAGTAATCAAGGTTCAACCTTTTTCAACTCGCAGAGCCTCGCAAATCCGAGGACTACCGATATCAAGTTTGGTGTAAATCGAGCAAGGGGAATTTTATAGTATTGAACTATATCTCCAAACAGAGGGTAAAGGGGGAATCTTAGCCCTAAAGACATGAACCTATCATATACAGTTATTTTCTCCTCTGGAGGAGTAGTAGCCCTTTCTGTGCCTAAAGGTGCTCGATATTCTAGATCTACTGGAAAATCGTACTTTTCGGCTATGGCCTTAGCTTCATCGGCAGAGTTTATGGCGGATGCAAAGTTAGAAACTGATAGAACAACCATATCTATCGCAGTATATGCAAATATAACAAAATTCAGGCATGAAGACGGGCCTAGGCAGGTACTAAAAAAAGGAAAAAGTTAAAAGGACTAACTTCTGTTAATTCGGGGGTGTTCTTCCAAATTTTGTCTGCTTGACGCGATGAATCTCTTCTGTTGCGGTGGATACCAAAATCTCCGGTGGCGAAATGGAGTTTTACTATTGGGCGGCAGCGAGTGATATGCAGAGAAGGCAGAAAAAATAGAGAGCTTTGCTATGTATTTTTGGAGGAGGATGTCTTGTAAAAGGACTTTAGAGCTTCTAAGACTGGTACATGTTAATTCTCTCTCCCACGACTCGACAGTTGGAGTGAAGTTCAAGGAACAATAATGATGGCGCAGCCGTCGTTTGAAAATCGTGCCAAACAGTGGGGCACGTCTGCTAGAATTTTGGTGGAATTCTGAAGGGGTCGTTTTCTCGGATCGGATTTTGACCCGCGAGTTATACCAACAGGCTTGCTCGAGACATTTTGGGCTGGCAGTTGTGTAATCAACTTGGGTCAAGTTCAGGTTAGATTTCTATTTTTTCAAGTCTTGTTTATTTCATATAACTAATACTTGACAGGGGCACTTGACGAGTTCATATCCACCACCGATATTGGACCGGCCCATCAACCGAGTAAAGGGCCCAACCGACTTCAATAGGGCGGCAACATGGCTAAACCCTAGTAGGATTCAGGTTCCCTTAAGGTATTTCTATGCCTATGAATAGGAATGATTACTCCACAATTGAGATACGCAATCTCTGGCACCAATTCACATATACACACTATTTCGTAACCCTATTTTTTGAATTAAGCTTCAGAGTGTCTACCCTCGGGCGGCTCCGAGGTTCTGTTTTACAGGAAACCCTAACCGGAGTTCCACCACCAAGCTGGAAGCGCAATTCCAGATATCGTCAACCACTATCAAATATCATTAGGATCTAGGTCCTATCTGTTATGTACCGCAATTAAAAATATTTATCTATAATGCATTAAAAACATACATTTTCAAAATCAAATACTACAAATTACATTACGTTGTAAAATAACCAATAACATGATATATCTACACTGCATTTAAATACAAACCTGTAGCGCAACGTTCGACTACAAAATTCAAACATAGAAATTAGTTATTTTTACTTGCCACGAGTGCATTAAAACTCCCATGTTCAAGCTTTGAGAAAGAAAACGGAGAACATATTAGCTTAATATATTGCGGGTAATCAGTTCAAAGTGCTTCCAAATTTGTATGAAAATTTATTTGTTCATAATGTGATTTGGATAAATAAGGGTCATCATTCAACAATCACAACCAACTCTAGTTCGCCTTCTTCTACAACTAGAAGATTTTAGAGACCCTTGCTTTTATAGGCTCCTACTTCGCAAGGGTATATATAGGCGAGAGACGTGCATATACAGATTTACCCAAACTTTTCATAGATAGATCATCTTCGGTATTAAGCAGCTGTGCTAGATGCCCATCCGTAAATTAAACACCACAAAATTCCCTAATAAAGAAAATATTAAGCTAGCTACTTACGACGATAGAGCCGGCAATTGTATATGGCTAGCGATATTGCAAGTGCAATTTCTAGTCTACAGATCAAGATTTACCTTTCTTACCTAAATTGCCCTCATGGAGTTAAACACTCTGTTCCTCTCTCCTTCCTGGGTCTCTCTCGCCACTTCTTCATCAATTCTCTTTTCCTGTTACCGCTCGATGCAAAAAAACAAAAAAAAAAAAAAAAACCAAAAAAATAAGGGGAAAAGAGAATTGACGAAGAAGTAGCGATCAAGGGTTAATCTTTGTTGCTAATCTAATACTTTATATTTCCTCTTAAAAAAACAAAAAAAAAAATACTAGTACTTTATACTTCATACAATTGGAAGCTCGGTATGACGTTTTTTATACCTCCAGAGAGTTTTACGTGAAGACTTTCATGAGTTCGATTCCTGATGATTTATTTATGCCAGTCTCGTCTACAGTATAGCAAGTGGGAAGGTCTGTATAGATAGTCCCACTCTGACCAACAAAGATGAATCATGTTGACGTGATAAAAGAATTCAAAAACTAAATTCAGGCCTGCTTTTCATGTTAAGCTCTAAAACACAAATTTTGAAATTTGACAAGAAGAGACAAGGCACTACCTATTTCAAATTGCAGATTTTCGTGATTCTAAATCACAATAAATCTAATATCTAATTCCATCGTGGGATTCAATTTTCAATTAAGAATAAATCAAATTTTAACAAAAGTTTACCCATCCAACTTAATTTTTTATCTAGATTATGGCCTTTGAAAAAACGATTGAATTGATCAGTCGGAGAATAGGAAGTGAGAAAAAGAGGAATTAAACATTTAAACTCAAAAGTGTAGTTTTGGAAAGAAAAGTAAATTTTGGTGTTGAGACTAAAAATTGCGCTAGCAATATCGCCAAGTCATTATATATATCGGTTGACAATTTAATCCGCTGACTTCTTCTATGTTTGTGATTGGTTGTTGAACACCATCGTGTCTTAATGCATTTAATTAGTACCAACTTGATTACTATTTAATGATGGATCAAGCTACATAATTGAGCGCTTTCGGGACGATGCATGCATCCTATGTATAAAGTAGTGTTAATTACTAGAAGACTTTTCACACATGGCACACGTAGATAAATTTGAAATACATAATGGTTATCCGATATACATCGGGTTGACTCCCATTAAGCAAAAGAAAAAAAAGGTTTTTTAAATAGTGAAAGGAATTATCACCCCTTCTATTCGAACGATATTCTTAACTTGAGCTTTGAAAATGGCGGCTATCTCTTCAGTTGTGAATTATCATTTCCTTGCAGTATGTATATTTATACCGGTACACAACGTAAAACTTTATTAATAAATATTTAAATCACGAGTAAACACTTGCATTATTATAATTATGTATAACATCAAAAACTAAACACCTGAATAGATCAAATGATTGTACCTGTAGACGCTAAATCTCATGACTGATTCCATTTCTTACAGCTCAATTAATTTAGCAAAAGTCAACTTTGTTTTGAGCATTTTTATCGAAATTAATGGCGGCTTTATCCAATTGCATGATGTTAGCACACTAGTACTATTTTATTAGGGTCTAGTTTTTTAATTGAGCATGTTTATTTTTTAATATTTTGTAATTTGGGTTGGTTAAATCTAAAGAAAAAGTGTTGGTCATTTATATTCTCAATCAATTAGTACAACGAATGACGCAGCTGTCCGTCCATTCTTGTGCCTGGCACAATAAAAACTCTTTCTTCTCCATATAATTCTTGTCAATACAATTGCAGGAAACCGAAAAAAAAAAGAAAAGGCAAATAAATCCCAATTGAAAGCCATGGAAAACGTTGTGGTGCTGCTTCAAAATGGAAACAAGACTGAAGCACCAAGTAATGTCACCATCAAATGTTGAGGGAAACAAGAAGAAACTGATTTCTTTAGGTCTTGGTGACCCCACTGTTTATTCTTGTTTTCGTACCGATCTTGCTGCGAAAGAAGCCGTCTCGAATGCCCTTCTCTCCGGCAAATTCAACGGATACTATCCCCCCGGTGGGCTTCCTGAAACCAGAAAGGCGATTGCGGAGTATTTGTCCGCTGATCTTCCGTACGAACTGTCACCTGATGATGTTTTTGTAGCATCTGGATGTACCCAAGCTATCGATATGGTGATATCTGTCTTGGCTCGCCCTGGGGCTAATGTGCTACTACCGCGACCCGGTTTCCCGAGTTATGGAATCTTTTCCAGTTTCAGAAACATTGAGGCTCGTTATTATGATCTCCTGCCCGATAACGGGTGGGAGGTTAATCTTGAGACTGTTAAAACTCTTGCAGACCAGAATACCATCGCAGTGGTGGTTATCAACCCTGGAAATCCCTGTGGAAACGCTTACACACGCCAGCATTTGGAGGAGATTGCAGAAACTGTTGGAAGGCTTGGGATCCCGATCATTGCTGATGAAGTTTATGGGCACTTAGCTTTTGGTGCTAATCCATTTGTTCCAATGGGTGTATTTGGATCCAAAGTACAAGTTTTCACATTGGGTTCTTTGTCGAAAAGATGGTTAGTTCCTGGATGGTGCCTCGGGTGGCTCGTGATGAACGATCCCTCTGGAGAATTCAGAAACCCGAAGCTCATCGAGCGTGTCAATAAGTATTGTACTATTTCGGGAGGTCCAGCATCTTTCATCCAGGCGGCTGTTCCTCAAATTATGCGGGGAACCAATACGGATTTCTTCGCCAACACCATTAACATTGTTAGGCGGACTGAAAACCTGTGTTATGAAAAGCTAGAGGAACTCCCTTCCTTTAGTTACTCATGTAAAGCTGAAGGATCTATGGTCTTAATGGCAAAGCTTAATCTATCAGTTTTGGAAGACATCGGTGACGACATAGAGTTCTGTCTTAAGCTGGCTAAAGAAGAGTCTCTCATCATTCTTCCAGGAATAGCTGTGGGGCTGAAGAATTGGATCAGAGTGACTTTCGCTGCAGATCCAGAATCCATTGAAGAAGCACTTGGAAGGTTGACGGATTTTTCCCAGAGACACATCAAGCAAGCAACAACACAATCCTCTAAAATAATGTATCCAACCGAACTTCAACGTGTGAAAGAAGAGAATGATCGCCTCCTTGGTCGTTGAGAAATATTATGATGCACACAGAAAACTACATTGAGTGGATTTTAACGTGATGTACAATTCATTTTCTTTTTGGTTGGTTTGTTTTTTTTTTTTTTTGGGGGAAATTCTTAGTAAGGGGGTTGCAACTTTTATAATTCCTAATAAGGGCGTTCAATTTTTAAAATTATTTGTCAGGGCATAGAATTGGTTTTAATATATTAAATGTATTGATAATGACATTCTTACCCTTTTTAATGTATTAATTTGTCACAATTTCCTTCTAACAATTGTCCTAATTATACTTTGCATAAAAAAGAAATAGTGATTACTTTGGATTGGATTTACATACATTTTTTCATTTTCCTAAAATAAGAACTCCTTCCCATTCTGAAAAGGGGAAAAAAAATTGAAAATAACGGTTTTCCAGGTTAAGAAGCTAGTTAAGCTGTTGTGGTGGAAAGGGCATCAACAAAATACACTACGGAAGTGAACCCCAAGAAAATCTTCTTTCCTACTACCAATAAAATAGGACAATCAAACAAGCAAAATATTTCAAGAACTGATAAAATAAAGTAGACACACGAATTTACGTGGAAACCCAAATCGGAAAAAACCATGGGACTGTAACAACAGTCAAATCTCTACTATCACAATAATGAAAAAATTTCTTCACCAACCGGTGGATACAAAGGACTTCACCCAAAGGTGGATTACAATAATACTCTTTCATACACCCCTATCACAAAGTAGGACTGGAAGGATCTCACCAAAAGAGAGTTAAACCGAAAAGTAAACCCTAGCTTTGTTTCTTTTCTCTCGCACAAAACCCTTACACGGCTGCCCTAATTTTCCTTCTCTCTCGGCTGAAAAACATGCACAAGTTGTGCACAAAGCCTTGCTTTTATAGGCATAAAAAACAAAACCCAAAAGCCAATAGAACTGAGTTTTCTTTTCTGGGTCAAACACCCCAATACCAAAGCCTAGTTAGGCTTGGTTTTATTTTTCCTTGTTGTTGTTGGCCCAATTGAGGGGAACGACCAGCCCAACAATCTCCCCCTTCACCTCAATTGGGGGGTAAAACCAAACCGGCTTCCTGTCTGCAAAACAGGAGCTTGTCTCTACTTACAGTCTTCGTCAACATATCGGCACCTTTGTCATCCGTATGAATCTTCTCAAGAAATAACGCCTTGGACTCCAACACATCCCAAATCCAATGATATCTCACATCAATATGTTTAGACCGCGAATAGAATGTGGAATTTTTCGCCAAGTGAATAGCGCTCGGGCTACCACAATACACCACATACCTCTCTTGCTTCATACCAAGCTCTTGTAGAAACTTCTGCAACCAAAGTGCTTCCTTACAAGATTCAGTAGCTGCAGTAAACTCTACCTTTGTAGTAGACAAAGCAACACACTTCTGCAACCTACACAGCGTAGAACTACTCCCCCTCCATAAGTCATCAAGTATCCAGAAGTAGACTTCTGACCATCAAGGTCACCTGCTATGTCAGCATATGTATATCCATCCAACATGGTATTCCCATTGCCAAAGCAAAGACTCAATCTGGAAGTACCCCTAAGATACTTGAGAATCCATTTCACAGCATTCCAATGCTCCTTACCAGGATTGGAGAGAAAAACCGACTAACAACACCAACTACATGAGCTATATTTGGCCTTGTGAAAACCATCGCATACATCAGGCTGCCAACTGCCGAAGCATAAGAAACCTTTTTCATCTCTTCCTTATCTTTCTCACTTTTAGGACACTGCATTTTGCTTAGCTTAAAATGCCCCGCAAGTGGAGTCGAGACTTCCTTAGCACCGCTCATGTTAAACCTATCAAGAACCTTCTCGATATACTTTTCTTGAGATACCCAAAGCTTCCCATTCTGTCTGTCACGAGAAATCCTCATTGCAAGGATCAGTCTAGCCGGATCCAAATCCTTCATCACAAAGGACTTATTCAACTCCTTTTTTAACCTGGCAATCTTTACAGTATCATGACCAAGAATCAACATGTCATCGACATAAAGCAAAAGAATTATAAAATCACCATCAGGGAATTTCTTTACAAACACACAATGATCGGCTGTAGTCCTTTGGTATCCCTGCCCTACCATGAAAGCATCAAACTTCTTGTACCACTGCCTCGGAGCTTGCTTCAACCCATACAAGCTTTTGTTGAGACGACATACAAGCTTTTCTTTCCCCTTCTCCTGAAACCCATCTAGTTGCTCCATGTAATCTCTTCTTCCAAATCACATGCAAGAACGCTGTCTTCACATCAAGCTGTTCAATCTCAAGATTCAAACTAGCCACTATCCCAAGCACAACTCGGATCAAAGACATCTTTACAACAGGAGAGAATATCTCATCAAAGTCTACGTCCTTTCTCTGATTGAATCCCTTCACTACTAATCTAGTTTTGTACCTCGGTTGTGAGTTGTTCTCACTTGTCTTCAGTCTGAACACCCATTTATTCTTGAGTGCTCTCTTGCCCTTATGCAGCTTCACCAGGTCATACGTGTTATTCTCATGCAAGAATTTGATCTCATCTTGCATGGCTGCTAACCACTAATCTTTCTACTCATGATTAAGAACCTCTTCATACGACTCTAGTTCTCCCCCGTCAAAAAGCAACAAATACTCATGAGCACTGTACCTGGTGGAAGGTTTCTTGTGGCTGGTGGACCTCCTTGGCTGGACAGGAGGTGATGAAACCGGTGGTGTCTCTGTTTGAGAAGTAGGATCATCATCAAAGTCACCATTCTACTCTGTCTCTGCTTCCCCTTCAGAAGAATCATCTGATTGTAGAGGAACTAGATCTAGATCAATAGGAATCTCATCTTGCATGGTTGCTAACCACTGATCTTTCTACTCATGACTAAGAACCTCTTCATACGACTCAGGTTTCCCCCCGTCAGTAAGCAACAAATACTCATGAGCACTGTACCTGGTGGAAGGTTTGTTGTCTCTAGTGAACCTCCTTGGCTGGACAAGAGGTGATAAAACCGGTGGTGTCTCTGTTTCAAAAGTAGGATCATCATGAAACTCACCATTCTGCTCTATCTCAACTCCCCCTTTAGGAGAATCATCTGATTGTGGAGGAACTAGATCTAGATCAACAGGAATCTAAGGTAAAGATTTTGGCATCTCGCCCTTTCCCATATCATCAATGGTCTAGTCTTCAATGAAGATCACATCTCTACTTCTGAAAACTTTCTTCTCTACAGGATCCCAAAGTCTGTACCCAAAATCATCATTTCCATACCCCAAGAATACACACTGCTTGGATTTGCCATCAAGCTTTGACCTTTCGTCTTTGGAAATATGAACAAAGGCACGACAACCAAAAACTCGCAAATATCCAAATGAGACATCTTTCCCTATCCAAACTCGTTGTGGTAGATCACCATCCAACAGAACTGAGGGAGATAGGTTGATCAAATCAATTGCTGTCTGCGTGGCTTCACCCCAAAAAGATTTAGGCAGCTTTGCATTCAAGAGCATACACCTAACCTTTTCGGTAATAGTTCTGTTCATTCTTTCTGCCATGCCATTATGTTGTGGAGCCTTCGGAACACTCTTCTGAAGTTTAATGCTATGGTCTACGCAATACTTCTCAAACGGACCCTTGTACTCACCACCATTATCTGCTCGAACACACTTCAACTTCTTGCCAGTCTCTCTTTCAACTCTAAGGTGAAAGTCTTTGAACACATCTAATACCTGATCTTTAGATTTCAAAGAAAAACACCAAACCTTTCGAGCATAGTCATCAATGAAAATAACAAAGTACAATGCTCCACCCAACGACCTATCTTTCATGTAACATACATCTGTATGAACTAACTCTAGAGGACTGGACTTTCTAGATGGAGGAGAATTTTGAAAGGAAACCCTATGATGTTTACCATAGATACAGTCAACACAAGGTTCTAGAGCAGTACCTTTCACCTCACGGAGAAATTGCTTCATACCAAGAATCTGGAGCCCCTTGACACTAATGTGTCCAAGCCTTCTGTGCCGGAGATCAATGGAGGCATTGTGAGTTGCATTCACCTCTCCATTCTTCAACTTTTCATTCAACATATACAAAGAGTTCAATTTCTTTCCTCTAGCAATAACAAGATTCCTTCTGGTAATTGTCCAACAGCCACCACCTTCAGTTCTATAATAACCCTCATCATCAAGTTTTCCAACAGAAATAAGGTTCAGACGTATATCCGGAACATGTCTGGCATTCTTCAACACAAGAGTACAACCTGTATTCGTTACCAATGATACATTTCCCATGCCGACAACATTGCATGAGGCTTGATTGCCCATTCTTACACGACCAATATCTCCAGGTGCGTAACAGATAAAGAAGTGTCTGTGAGGCGTCACATGATAAGACGCAACTGAATCACCGAACCAATAACATTCGTGACTCGCAACATTAATTGTATCATCATCACAGTACACAAATACATCACTGGTAGTTACTACTGAAGTAGTGTCATCATCACTTGATTCATCCTTCTTGCCTTTACCTTTTCTCGTTGCTAGTTCTCTCTTGAGAACCCTGCACTCCCTCTTAAAGTGCCCATTCCCTTGACAATGGTAACACACGACATCTTTCTTGGATTTAGACCGTCCTTTGGACTTGTCATTCTGATCACGTGGCCCTCTACTTTTACTTGTCCCTCTTCTATCTGATTTTTTTTGTCACCAGAGCCTGCGACTCAGACTCAATACTCTGCTCTTTTCTTCTAACTTCATCAGCTTTTATTTCTCCCGAAAAGTGATAAAACACACTTTGATCAATCCACTGTCGAATATTACCAACAGTCTTCCTGTACATATCATCCCACTTTTTATCAGTCATATCACTTGGCCTACCTTCATCCCCTAGAACAGGATCAAACAAATCTTTGCAATACGACAAGTCTTCCATTCTAGGTTTCCACATATGATAATTAGATGAAGTCAATTTAATTATTGTACAAGAGAGAGTTAAACCGAAAACTAAACCCTAGCTTTGTTTCTTTTTTTCTCGCACAAAACCCTTGTGCGGCTGCCCTAATTTTTCTTCTCTCTCGGCTAAAAAAAATGCACAAATTGTGCACAAAGCCTTGCTTTCATGGGCATCAAAAACAAAACCCAAAACTCAATAAAAGTGGGTTTTCTTTTCTCGGTCAAACACCCCAAAACCAAAGCCTAGTTAGGCTTGGTTTTATTTTTCCTTGTTGTTGTTGGCCCAATTGAGGGGAACGGCCAGCCCAACACAAGCTTGGTTTTCTTTGTCTATCAATTTGTATATAAAACCACGGTAACAAGTAGAATTCTCTTCATAAAGCTCCGTCTCGATTAAATCACGGGCACGACAATATAGTACAATGTTGCACTTTTGTCGTGCTAACTTAATCAAAAAATTATTTTTTTCTACATATTATTTCTTCTTATCTTCAAAGATGCAGCCAATATATAATTACGCTTTCTTGTTGGATTGGACTTAGATATCAAACATAATTTTTTTGTAAAATTATGATTTTCAATGAGGTGTAATTGATTTTCAGGATTCAAAGTTTTGGTGAAATAGGAACGTCTTAGTTATTTACATAAAAGGGTAAGATTGTCATGCACAATACAATCACTATGCTAAACCAATTTCACGCCTTTTAGAGGAATTTTAAAAGTTAAACACGCTTATTAAGAATTCTAAAATCTTAAGAATTTCCTCCTTTTTTTTCATCATAAGCTCCCACCACTACAACAAAAACTTTTTATTGACACGCACTTTCTAGGACACTTACATATTAATCATTCCGATAAATATATATTGGGATATTACTGTAAAAGCGTCATATTGAATCACTTTAACGGACATTTTAATGCATCCTCAAAAAAAGTGTTCCTGTAAACCATTGGATGCTTAAAATCATCCAATTAGTTACTGCATGTGTTGGGGCCATAGTTTGCAAACTCGCGATCTTGGATCGTAGGATTGTCCGATCCTACGATTCAGGTACCTAAACCGATCCTGGATCAATCAAACTCGAATTTTACAGTGGAATCAGAGTGGGATCGGTCAGGATCGTACAGGATCGGTCAGGATCGTAAGATCGGTCCGAGTTTACTATTCATCAATTATAAAAAATTAATTGAGCTTATTGAAATTTTTTTCCTCTTATTGTTTTTGGTTCACATTTAATTGAGCCTAATATTCTTTGAGGAAACTTTTATTGCTACGAAAAATATATTTTAGAAATTTTTTCTAATAAAATGAAAAGAAAAACTGTATAAGAAGAGTTTTTATTAAAAAGTTATGCAAAAATTCATATAAGAAAATTGAATTTACATATTTCTTTTGGTTTAAATGTTAAAAACTTTGTCTAAAGATATTTGTAAGTGCATTATCAAAGCAATTAATTATATAACATGTATAATTAATTTTACGATCCTACTATTTCGATCCTAACGATCCCATTTACCATTCGATCTTATGACCCCATTTCGATTCTACGTAGGATCACGATCCTGCAAACATCTTTTATCTCTCCTAAGACAATGCATCCTAATAAATGCTTGAATGCTTCAAATAATATCAATAGTTGTCTTGTTGGGATGCTTAAAAACATCATTTCTTTATTGGTATATTTGTTTAGTTTCATAGTGCTATTTTTAATTTTTCATAAATCTACTATGACGCGCTATAATTTATGAATAACCTCAGAGGGTTAATTTAGTTAATATTATCCATCTTAAAGTTTTCAAAATGCTAGCATAACATCTTAATATTTATGTTTTTGCACAAAAACAAATACTATGTTGAATCCAACGTGTTGATGTCTTAATCATGTCCTAAATCATATTACACTTTCAGTAATTGAATGTACAATGTATTGATGAATTAGTATTTAGTTTTTTAATTTACTTTTTATAAATTATTATAGTCAACAACAATATACCAGTATATTCCCAAAAAAAAAAAAAAAGTAACTTGCCCTAGCCTACAATCACTAATCTCATTCGATGTGATTAGTTCTTATTACATTACAATTAATGTACAGCTTCAACACTTAGCAGTTAGTATACACACACGATATAGTTATAACATCTACATGATCATCTTTCTAATGATAATCTTTCTTACACTTTATCGGACAATATAATTAATGTCATCATCAATAATTTAATATATTAAAATAATTCTATGCCCTTAAAAAGAATTTTAAAAATTAAAGGCCCTTATTAGGAATTATAAAAGTTGCTGCCCTATTTGTCCAAAAAGATTGAGCTCAACTTAGTTGAAATAAATGGAGCTTTTGAGGTCGGCTCCCGCTGGTTAACTTTTCATTTTCCAAGCAAAGATGTGATCCTCTTTGTTGGCTTTCTCTTGGCAGATTTGAAGAAGGTTTTGACTGATAAGTATGGGATTTTGTCTCTTGGAAAAGATCAAGTTAAGCCGTTGCTAGAGGAATTGGAGGTGTTGATATCTTTCCTCCAAAAAGTGAACATGCAGAAGAAGGATCTTTCAGAGGAGGTGGAACATGTGGTAAGCCTGATAGATGAAGCGCAGTTTATCATTAACCTATCTGTAGCCGGAGGTACTCCTGTATGGTACTGCCAAGTTGTGTTTTTCAATGTCATTGAAGAAATAAGGCTTATCAAGGCACATGATCTCCTAGAGAATTGTCATGACAGAATGATAATACTCAATGGTGTTCAACTGCCTTTGGGGCGTAAGGTACCAGCACCAGTTGTAAGTTCTTGAGCCAGAAACTTAGAAACTGATGAAGTTTGCCGGGTTTATTGATCATGCTAAAGTTATAACGGGCAACCTTACAACTGGTTCATCACAAAGACATATTGTCGGAATTGTTGGAGTGGGCGGCCTTGGCAAGACAACTTTAGCGAAGAAAGTCTATGACGACATTTCGATTCAGCATCACTTTGTTGTTCGTGCGTGGTGTTCAGTTTCCAAATTATATCAAAAGAGACAACTACTGTTTGACAAATTGGATAGTTTCGGTCAGATGACTGATGAAATCAAGGCAAAGGATGATAATGATCTGGCTCAAGTTCGCTATGAACGTTTAAAATGGAAACGCTACTTGGTTGTTATATATGACATATGGAGCATAAAGCCCTGGACTGACCTACAGATTATTAACATTGACGTAACGAATTAAATACACTATTAAGGAAAATTTTCGCCGAACTTTGCCGCCCGAAGGGTCCACCGACCCCCCGGGCCTCTATGTACATCTGCCCATGGTTATGAGGGGAGTATCTCATAGAGTTTATATATTTTATATATTGATGCTCAGAGTCTCCGAATACCAACGTGAGATTGAGACTCTTTAATAAAGGGAATCGTAAATTCTTTCATACTTGCATATTTGTCAAAATTTTAAGATTGTCAGTGTGTTAAATTTGGAAGAAATGACAAGTGACGCAAGATTTTTCAAGGGGATTGAATCGATGTTTTGTTTGAATTACCTAGCCGTTGGAGGAAATATAGATTCAATTTCTTCATCCATAGCTGAACTCTGGAACCTGGAGATCTCATAGTAAAGGCAACAAAAGGTACAGTTGAAGTGCCAAGTACACTTTGGAGCATGCAAAGGTTGAGGTATGTACAAGTAAATCCTCGTGCTAGATTTAATCTTCCAGACAATGAATTTGAGAATCCTTTGGTTTTAGACAATCTAGTTTCCATTTTCTTGCCCATTTTTATTGTGAGGACAGAAGCTGAAAAACTGTTGAAAAGGTTGATTCGAGTATAGAAGTTTAAATTTATCTTAGGACCAGGTTGGATCCAGAGCTATTATGATAAGAATCTGGAACTGGCCTATCTTGATCAACTCGAGTCACTGAAAATAGTCTACAATGGGAGTGGTTGTCCATGCGGAATCAGTTTCCCCTCGACTCTCAAGAAATTGACTTTGTCCAACTTTCGCCTACCATGGAAGTACATTGAGGTCATCAGGCAACTATCCAATCTGGAAGTTCTGAAATTGCTAAGCAGGTCATTTGATGGGAAAATATGGGAAATGGACGCTGAAGCCGATTTTCCCAATCTGAAATATCTGAAGTTAGTCAATTTGAACCTTGCAAAGTGGAATGCCTATTCAGATTGTTTTCCCTCGCTTGAGCAACTAGTTGTACACAGCTGTAGCAATCTTGAGGAGATCCCTTCCAGTTTTGGTGAGAGCGACACACTTCAGATGATTGATATGAAGTGGTGCTCGCGGTCTGCTGCAAATTCTGCAGTAAAAATTTACAATCAACAGGTGGAAGAATTGGGAAATAAGGAGTTCAAGGTCTTCAAAACTGATCGAGTATCATTTTGAACAGCTAAACGAGGATTCCAGAAAGGTTCAAATTATATCTTCCGCTATTCTTTTTCGGTTCCACTGTAAGGTGTTTTAGTCTTATTGGTGCATCAAATATGCTTCTGTTCGGAGTTCATATGTCCACAGCACTGCTGTATATGATGTGATAGAGATCTTTACATGCAATAATATTTGCAGGAAAGAAGGGACAATATGAAATGCTTCTGCTGCGAAGATTTCTGCGTGCAAAGAAGAGAACTTGGGGTCAACAACAATCTGCGAATGTTGTGATTTGGAAGCTCAAGAGATGAAAACATACAGGTTCCTGGGAACTTAATTATCAGCTTGCTTCTTTTTACTCTTTCAATAATTCTGTGGTTGAACGTTGATTCTATGCATTTTTCCTTGTCAGATACATTCTCAATGTCACATCAAAGGGAACCATTGAAAAATGAACAATGAACTTTGAAATCCCTGAAATCTTAAGTTGAGAGATTCACCAGTTTATGAGAAGTTCCATCAAATCACAGAAAATTTATTGGATAAAGAACGACAGCTACATACTCGAAGTGAACATGAACCAATAAGAACAAAGTCTAGAGTTATAAGAAAGAAAAAAGTAGGTACAAACAACAAACTCGCAAATTATATCCAAATTAAAGACTACTGAACAAAGTCTATTGGTTTTAAATGCATGGTTTCTGATCAATCCTTGTTATATTTTCTTGTATTTTTGTCCTACACAAATCATTATCCTAATTAATAATAATAAAAATCATTCATTCAGTGAAAGTAATCTTACATATTAAAAGAGAAGGGATTAAGGACAAATGCCACATTATTAAGTGTTTATGTATATTAAAAAAATCAAACACATGTTGTGTAGATAGAGAAATTATTCCATGAAACCGTTGAACCACATCAGCAACCATGATGTGATGCAGCAATCCAATAGTTATTTAACACGTGTAAGTTTGTAATATCCATATTAATTATCAAATCCCACGCCGACGGGAGTCACGCAGCCGCCGCTCCTATGTATTATCGCATGCCAGGCAATGAAGCAATTCCAATTTTTTTTTTTAATTTTTCAGGCAACCAGATCAAGAATGTAGCCAGCATCAGTTGAAAGACAAAAGTCTCTCTTTTATACTTTTATCATCATCGTTTTCATCTTCTTCTTCTTGACCTTACGTCCTCATTAATAGTGAAACAATTTTCCATTGACTTTGAAAATTATCAGTGTTTTTTTTTTTTTTTGATCATCCACCACTCATTGATCTTTTTCATTTATTATTCCGGCATCAATAGCCGAAGCAGTGGTGAGTTTATTGAACAATAATTTTTTCGATATCAATTACTGATTGATGATTTTGGACCTTTCGATTTTGAGGTTGCCATGGATGAATATCAAGATGAAGACAACATAATGAAACCGAATCAGTAGTTTTGTTTTGCCATGGAGTGAGATGAAGATCTAGAAAGAAAGAGAAAAAAAAAAAAAAAACTTGATCCAGATTTGGGAGTTCCGAGTTTGACGGCATGAGAGAGAGTTAGCCGGAGAATTAACAAAATCATAATTAAAAGTTACTTATTATATATTTACCTACAGGTATTGTTAGGAGATTGGTTTGCTGCACCACATCATAGTTGCTGATATGGTGCAACGGATGTACGATATAATTTCTCAGTGTAGTTGAGCGTAGTTAATCTGTTAATGTAAATATTTAATTTTATTTAATTAGGTTTATTAATAAACAATGGTAAACACATCGTATCCCTTATAAAATTGAAAATTCCATAATTTTCTTAATCGTTCCCGTAATTAATGGGACATATTTTACAAGAGTTGAAAATTTCCATGTTTCATTCAATTCCTTATTATTAAAGTTGAAAATAAAAATAAAAATAAATATTTTCTTATCATCATCATCATCATTCATCACTGTAATTAGTTAATAACAATCTTTCATTAATTCAAGTTTGTTAAATTATATATCATCAATTTCTTTTCTACAGCGGGGGGCTAGAGATAGCAACTAAAAAAAGGCTAAAACTATATCTTGACGTGTTCTAAAAAATGTTTTCTTTTGTGTGTGTGTGTGGGAGGGCTACACGGTTTAGAGGAAGTCTTTAGTTTTTTGCATGCAACAGAGGAGGCAAAAGTTTAAATTCAAAATAAAATAATAATCATAAAGAAATCACTGTATTCTCACTTTTCATTTGGTTCAATTTATGTCTCTTATAAGAAGATCATGTTATATAAGTGCTTACGAAATACAAAACACGGTTTTGAGCCAGTAATTCAAATTTACAGCCATAGTTGTACCAAAAGACGTTTACTCCTTATCGTTTTCCCTTGTTTTGTAATCCATCATTATCTCGACAAGCAAGGTGCACTGTGCACTTGCTATTAAATTTCAGCCTACTTTAATAATAATAAAAAGGTTAATATTATTCTTCTCTCTCTGACGGCTTAAAATGCGAAACAAAGAAACTTCCGTTTAGTTGCTTCGAACTAAATTGATAAAAAAAGATGGAGTTAACGTGGTCAATGCAACTTTGTGCCAATTAAGTACAACCATATCCATAACTATTAGGTAATCTATTCCTTTCTTCATAACAAACAAATTGGTTAGTTAAGCTAATCGGTTCCAATAGAACATGACGTAATTAATTTGTGTGCGTGTTTGTGTGTATATATATATATATATATATATATATATATATAATTTGTTGGAAAAAGATCTATACCTAATTGGCTTAAGAATGATTTTGAACTGCACAAATGAACTTACGAAATTGATGTAATCATATGATCTAATCATTTTTTAAACGATGGCTTACGTTGTTGAAGCTACTTCTCAACTGCATCATAAATTAGTTTATTTTGTTTTTTTTTTTTTTTTTTAAAAGAAGAAGAAGAAGAAGAGATCCTTAGGAAAGCACTTTGATTATAGAAATCTCTTAAACTTCAACCACGGTGGGGTAAATTAGATGCATGAATGTTTTTATATACCTACTACATATATTTTTGTTTCACTTGGACAGTTGGACTGAGTTTCATTCCACGTTTAGGAAACTCAGTGGCAATTCTCGCCGATTATAATTGACAGAATTCACTGTCCGGACGGACGATCAAGTCAATCCTGGCATGTAGTTCTTTGGTATGAATTTATGGTTCCCATCTTCATTTTCTTTCTTCCAATATATTTTTTTTCTTTTGTTCTCACTTTTATCCTCTTCTTCAACTCTCGTATAAAATTTCTTGGTATGTAATCTTTTCCACAAACCCAGAATTTTGGATCTCTAAATTTCAAAATGATCGGTTTAGAGTCTTAATTAGCACCAGGATAAGATGAAATTTTCTAAGATTAAGACTTTTTACTTCCATTATAGGTTGTCTCGTCGTGGCCTTAATACAAATGATGTTGAAGGGAAGTCGAAAGAGAAAATGGCCCTTCACCCTCGCAATCCTACTCTTCCTGGCATTAGTCGAATTGTACTCCATTTGCATTGTTCCAATTTCCAGAAAGGAATTCCTTAAGACGGATACAATAGATGATCAAACAGCTCCTCCTCCTCCACTAACATTGGCCATACGCCGCCATCAAGTATATAGTCGCATCTCTTTCGTCTCGAAATAATTTTTTTATTCACGTATTGAATATAGATTGTTATGAATGTTTAATTTGTTTAACAGGTTACTATGGACAATGGCCTAGTTAGAGTCACTATTTCTATTCCCAACGGTATGGTAACAAGTATAAATTACAAGGGAAATCGCAACGTTTTGGATTCTCGTCGAACTGAGTCACAAAGAGGGTAAGCCGATGAACAACATTTCCTCCGCCTTCCTTCTTTTTTCGAATTCTTAATATTTAGTTGATAAAACTAATAAGAGAGGAACAAACGCAAAGATGCCCCCTTTTTCTTTTCATTTGCTCGTTGACTTTACCGGGCATAAATGAGAGAGAAATAAAATTAAATGTCTTTATTCGCATTCCCTTTATATTCTTGAACCATTGTGCATAAACTCATTAGATATATGTACTCCTAGGCTCCGTCCTAAACAATTAATTCAGTTTACTTTCCTATTTTAGTTCTAGAGAAAAGTAATTAATGTTTCTCTTGACGCCCATAATTTATCTCTTTTCTTTAGGTATTGGGATCTTGTATGGAGCCGACCGGGACACTCAGAAGAAATTTCCGTCAAGTAAATATAATTAAAGTTCTTCATTTAAGTTAACTATTTATTTCTTATGACATGAGTATATTGGCCATTATGATACATGGACTTCGTACATTTTTACAGGCTTAAGTCGAAAATTTTTAAAGTAATAGCTCAAGATGAAAACCAAATAGAGCTTTCATTCAAGAACATGTACAGTCCATCTCAGGATCACAGTGGCACCTGTCTACCTTTGAACGTCGATAAGAGGTTACACAATCAATATAATTTTCCGCATTAGGGTCGTCCTCACTCCTTCTGTCTCATTGAAATAGTCCAGTTAATTGTATTATTTGTTTTGATTTAACAAACAATTTTTTTTTCTTTTTTAGTGTTTTGAAACAAAGAGAATATTAGATTTTGGTTCTTGTATATATATATTCTTAATGTGATTTGTGGTTATGTATATAGGTTTGTATTGTTGCGTGGATCACCTGGATTTTATGCTTATGCCATTTATGAACGCTTGGAAGGATGGCCAGGATTAGAACTTATCCAAACAAGACTTCTTTTCAAACTTGATAGAACTCGGTAAGACACGAACCCTCTGGTATTATACGCACGCATTCTTTTAAGTACCAAATTCATTATTTATTATTTTACATTTTTTTTTATTATCATCTCTTGCTTTTTCTTTCATTTGGTAGTTGATATTACATTCTTTACAAGGCTATTATGAGATTTCGTTTAAGTTAATTATTACAGAATCTTGGTAGGTTCAATTACATGGCTATATCTGACGATAAGCAAAGATTTATGCCAACACCCGAGGATTTTCAACGAGGTAAACATCTTGCGTATAAAGAAGCTGTTCTGTTGACTAATCCATCCAACACGGCTCTTAAAGGACAGGTACGTGTTTGTAACCATTCATATGAACAACCAAAATAATCGTGGCCTTGAAATTAATCATCTAAAAGTAAATAAATACTGCCCGTCGTACTAGAAAGTCAATTTATGTTTGCACAGTTTTCAGTATATTCGAAGAATACAATATAAATTATTTTTGTGGGACGCAAAGACTATTAGTTTTCTGATTCCACGACAAGAAACTAGTTAGTAATCCTTTGACCATTATTAGAACTGATGTCAATATTGGTTTATCTTTGAGTACTGAAAAGTCAAAATCACAATTTATAATTATTCTTTTCTTTTACTTTGAAGGCATTCATATTTGATTCTGTGTGACTCATTCCCTTTTTTTAGAAATTGTATCCTTTTCATTGCTATGTCAAATCTACAAACTTTACCAATTTAATTCTGAAACTGTTAGAAGGATTTTTCGTTGAATATTTCGCATTATATATATACTTATTATAAAATTTGGAAGAAGGGGACATTTCGGTCCACTTATATATATACGAATTCAAGTAAATTTGTGCATTCCTTTTTCGTATTGGAACTAAATACTTACAAAATATGAATTGAAAATGTAGGTAGATGATAAGTATCAATATTCGATGGACAATGAGGAAAATCAAGTGCATGGTTGGATTTCTTCAAAGGAAAAGAAAAATGAGCCGGGATGGGTGTGCTCTTCGGATCATGAAGGATTTTGGATCATAATGCCTAGTTACGAGTTTAAAACCGGGGGTCCGCTAAAACGGGAATTAACTTCTCATACCGGCCCAACCTGTTTAGCAGTAAATTTCTTCTACATTCTTTCTCTCTTTGAAGATAAACGATTATTATTTTTCCGAGACATAAAATTTTTTTTTTATTTCTAATAAAGGTATATAATGTTTTTCGAATATTCTTGTATAATTTGAGCAATATAGTATTTTTTTATTCTCTTTTTAATTTGGTTATCGCGCAGGACTTTCACAGTCAACATTATGCCGGTTCAACTTCAAATGGACTTAAATTTGAAGATGGAGAGGCATGGAAGAAAGTTTTTGGACCAATATTTATTTATCTAAACAGAGAATTAGAAAATGTCGAACCTTACTTGCTTTGGGAAGATGCAAAAGAACAGGTAAGATGATCCAAGCTTTTCTTTCTTAAAAGTTTATAAAGTACTAACTAATCGTGAATAATTAATTTTAATTTATTACTTTAGGTACGAAAAGAAATCCAGAAATGGCCCTACAGTTTCCCAATGACTTCCGATTTCCCTCCAGCTGATCAAAGGGCCGTAGTTCGCGGTCGTCTTCTCATAACTGATAGGTATATATATATATATATATATATATATATATATATATATATATATATATTTGAGGTTTATTTATTTCTAAGAGTGTATGTTTTTTCCACCTTTCTCTTGAGACCCAAAATTTTCAATTTATATTTTCTGAATTAAGATCGTGGGTTCCCAATTTTTTGATTTCACATTATTACGTGATAATAATTAATCATTAGAGATTCCGTGTAAAAACAAAGACTAACTTTTCTAAGTTGTTTAGGTTCTTAAAAAATAGGGATTTTCCAGCCAAATCTGCATATGTGGGATTAGCTACTCCAGGAGCTGCAGGATCATGGCAAAATGAGGCTAAGGTTTACATTGGTACTTAGAAATGTAAATTTGTTCGTCCTCTGTAATTAGGCATAAAAAGTAACTCATACAATCCATCACGTATAAGAAAACCAATTGATTAGAAGTCATCAATATAATTTCATTTATCATGGCGTTTCATCATGGCAGGGCTATCAATTTTGGACTCGAACAGACGACGAAGGTAATTTTAGCATAAGAGGTATTCGAGCGGGAAATTACAACTTGTATGCTTGGTTGCCTGGTGTATTCGGTGAATACAAGTACGAGTTACTCATTAATCTCGCACCTGGTACGTAATGTAATATTGTTCAACGTTTCATTTTGAGGTCTTTTATTTAGCAACATAAGAAGATTGCATTATCTTTTTTAAAAACAAATATTTGGTCGTTATCAACGAACAACATCTTACAAAAAAAGGTTCATGCTAATTCCACTTTTTTTGTTCCCTTTTTTTTTTGTTTTGCTTGTTAACATGTATTGTTGACCGAGTGGTTTATGTCTACAGGTAATATGTGCAATTTTGGTGACCTTTTATTTAAGCCTCCGAGAAATGGTCCAACAATTTGGGAAATTGGCATTCCTGATCGAACAGCTGCTGAATTTTGTATACCCGATGCGTCTCCAGAATATCTTAATTCTTTGTACATCAACCACACAGAAAAGTTAGCTCAACATTCTCAATTTAATACCTATTCTTTTTGTGAAGAATATAAACTTTTCCTATTTTCATTTGTTTTTTGATACCAGTTTTAATCATTTTCCGATGATGTATCACAGGTATAGACACTATGGTTTGTGGGATCGCTACACAGATTTATATCCTCATGAAGATCTGATTTACAGAATTGGTCATAGCAATTATCAAACGGACTGGTTTTTTGCGCATGTCAACAGGTACATCATATACGCCTTTCCACTTTTTTTTTGGCCCATTTTAAGATTCGAGCCCAGACATTGTGGAGTAAACCTAATTATCTAATTATGTTGATTGATAATAATACCTTTTTGATATATTTTATAGTACATTATTGATTCATTGTAGGAGAATCGCAAAAAACGAATATGTACCCACGACTTGGCAAATTTTATTTGAGATGAAGAAAGTTAATTCTACTGCAAATTATACTTTGCATATGGCTTTGGCTTCAGCGTCTCTGTCCGAAGTGCAGGTAAACCTTGTAAGAAATTGTTCGAAGATAGATTTTAAAATTAATAAGGCCTTTTTTGACATGTTTATGGAATCATAGGTTCGGGTGAATGATGAATCAAAAATTGATCCTGAGTTTACTACGGGTCTCATTGGAAAGGATAGCGCAATTGCAAGGCATGGAATACATGGATTGTACTGGGCATTCTCTATCAATATAACAGGTAACAAATTTCTATCAGGAAATAACACAATCTTTCTCAGAGAGGCAATCGGCGAATATGTTTTTGGTGGGGTAATGTACGATTACCTTCGCCTTGAAGGACCGGCGGGCGCATAATTTCTCAGAATTGAGAAAAATGAAAAGCTTCGTATTATGGGGATAAAGATTATACAAGAGTTGCTCGAAGCAGAAAACATTTTGATTATAAGTTTATGCTTAAGAATACATGTAGAAATGAGCGCGCCTTTTTTAGTTACGAGAGAAAGATAGGGATACAAAGGAAAGTGATAAACTAGGACAATTGTTGTCGAACATGCACTTTTTCTTTTTTTTCTTTTTTTGGTTCTCTAGTGTATAGAGGAAGATATGGAAGCTTAGTTATGCCTTGGCATCTAGGTAAATTGCAATCTGTACGTAGCATTCAACCATCCGAGTTGTAGATTTTGAAGCTGTCATAATTGTAGCCAGCTGTAATAATTGTATATTTGAGTTGGCCACTTCATAGAAAAGAGACAATAGTAATTTATCGTTTAAATTTTTACCTTCTTCAAATATAGATTACCATGTGTTGGGAAAAATACGAAGAGTATTCGTAAAGGCTAATGAAAATCAGAATAGGAAAAATCTGAGACTCGTGAAAATACAATTTCCATAAAACAGATTTGTCCTCTCCTAAGGTGCATAAGGATCTCGAGCAATTATTTCCCATGATACAATGGAAACACTGAGACTACTTAGCACAAAGTAACTCTACAAGCGAACTAGAACTTACAACAAATTAATGAACACCGAAAAATGGAAAGAAAGAAAGGCTCAAAAGAATCTGAGAAGAGATGGGAGAAAAGATGTGTTAAACTTTAGAAAATGAGGGTTTATTTATAGGCTGGAGAAACCTTTCAAATGGCAGCAAACTTTGTAACAGTTTAAGCATTTTAATTCTGTTAAATGCAGAGAATTCATGACACAAAACCTCCAAAATGTGTTTGACCAGCCCAACAGTCAAATGAATTCATTTCTACCTTTTAATATAATTAAATCTGCCAATTCATTCTGATCATTCATGACAGCAAAACAATTGCAACGTTTCAGTTTCATTTTGATTGAAATGAATGATTATAATTCTCCATTTAAAATTTAGTTGGAAAAAATTAATTCGAACCGGACCTCCATTTGCAACCCCCCTGTGCAGGCGCACGCGAGCGGGAGAGATGTGGTATAGTATTGGCGAGTCAGCTTGCAAGTCAATTTTGGTCTCTCACTTATAAAGTGAGCTCCAACTCTTCCCAACTCCAATGTGGGACAAAGTCCTGTAACCTTAGCTCTATTTTTCCAATTCTTGAGAAACCTAATTTTCATTCACTTATTACTCATTTGCAATAATCTCCGACATGAATGAGATATTGTTTCGAATAAACGATAATGTTTTTCACCAACTGATCCCTGCATAAAGAAAGTAGGTTTTACCCTTTGAACTTTCTCTTTGTAAAGTATGTTTGCTTTACTAGTTGTCCAATAGATGCAATGTCCTTGAACTGTCCGGCTATATTGTCTAAAGAAACCCACATACATTACACAGGAACCATTCCTATTTAGTTCCGTTCTCATGATTTTGTCTATTTTGGCCATGAACACGTCCTGGTTCTGCAAGAGTTTCTAAAGAACTAAGCCTGAACAGTTCTCCTTTGAAGCGGCCCCACTTCTCTCTCACATAGGTGACTCCTTAAGTCTAGAGTAAATGGTATTACTCACTTAAGTATCATTAAAGCAACCGTTTGCTATCCTTTTCCGTCATATCACTGTTTGATGACACGGATGAGTTGAGGTTTACCCCCACTTTAGTGACCACATAAGTCTTATGATTAGGTTGTCCCATTGAACCTAGATCTTGGGATCTCCAGTCAACTAGGTTGGGTTTTCCTTCTTAAGACTTTTATTTCTTCACAGGCTTTACACCTATTCCTTTGGTCAATCTTTCAACTGCCTCTCTATTTAACTCTTTGCTTAGCAGATCCGCAAGATTATCCTTTGACTTCACATAGTTAATTATGATAATCCCTGTTGAGAGGAGTTGTCTAATGGTATTGTGTCGACGACGAATATGTTTCGACTTACTATTATGCATAGTACTACGTGCCCTTCCAATCGCCGATTGACTATCACAATGAATACTGATAGGTGTCACAGGTTTTTCCCACTTTGGAATATCCTCCAAAAAATGGCGTAGCCATTCAGCCTCCTCAGCACACTTATCCAAGGCAATGAACTCGGATTCCATTGTGGATCTAGCTATTACAGTTTGTTTTGAGGATTTTCATGACACGGTTGCCCCAGCTATTGTAAACACATAGCCACTTGTGCAGTGTGAGTCCTTTATATCAGATATCCAATTGGCATCCGTGTATCCTTCCAACACAGATAGATATCTGGTATATTGCAGTCCATAATCACGAGTATGTCTTAGATACCTCAGTACTCTAATTATAGCAGTCCAGTGTTCAGCACTAGGATTACTCGTGTATGACCTCAATTTGCTCACAACGTAAGCAATATCTGGTCTAGTATAACTCATTAGATACATCAAACTCCCTATTATCCGAGAGTATTCCACTTGAGATATAACTTGTCCATGATTTTTGGATAAATGGATACTATTATCTAATGGTGTTTTTGAGACTCCATAATCATTCTTGTTAAACTTGCCAAGAATTGTGTCTATTTAATGAGCTTGACTCAAAACTAGACCATCTATTGTCCTTATGATTTTAACACCTAAAATCACATCAGCTAGACCCATGTCTTTCATGTCAAACTTAGAGTTTAACATGTTCTTTGTAGATTTGACCAACTTGTCATTACTACCAACAATGAGTATATCGTCTACATATAGACATAATATGACATAATCGTTTTCTATCTCCTTGACATAAACGCATTTGTCACACTCATTAATTTTGAATCCACTAGTAATCATTGAATGGTCAAATTTTTTCATGCTACTTTTTAGGTGCTTGCTTTAAACCATACAGGGACTTTACTAGTTTACAAATTTATTTTTTCTGTTCCTGGAACTCGAAAGCCCTCGGGTTGTTCCATATAAATTTCTTCATCTAAATCTCCATTTAAGAAAGCTGTTTTAACATCCATTTGATGTATTTCCAAATTTCTTAAGGTTGTGATAGCAAGTATCATCCTTATGGAATTTATTCTGGTCACGGGAGAATACATATCAAAGTAGTCTAAACCTTCTCGTTGTTTATATCCTTTGATTACAAGCCTGGCCTTGTATTTATCAATGGAACCATCAGGTTTCATTTTCCTCTTAAAGATCCATTTAGATCCTAATGGTTTCTATCCAGGTGGGAGATCAACAAGCTCCCAAATATGATTCTGTAAAATTGAATCAATCTCACTCTTTATGACTTCTTCCCATAAAGGTACCTCAGAAGAACTTACTGCCTCAGCATAAGTTAGAGGTTCTCTTTCTAGCAAATAGATTACAAAGTCATCACCGAATGATTTTTCTACTCTTGCCCTTTTGCTCCGTCTTGGTTCGATATCTAGAACCTCAACCGAATCTTGAACTTCTTCATGAGTTCGTTTTGATGAACTGGCTTCACCCTTAGTCTTACAAGGAAATACATTTTCAAAGAAAGAAGTTTTTCTTGATTCCAAAACCGTGTTCTTGTGTATGTCCGAAATTTTCGAATCGTGCACTAAGAACCGATATGCATTAATATTTTGTGCATAGCCAATAAAAATACTATCAACCATTTTAGGTCCAATTTTTATTGTCTTTGGCGGAGGTACAACTACTTTCGCAACACACCCTCACACTCGCAAGTGTTTGTAGGATGGCCTCTTTTCTTTCCATAACTCATATGGAGTCTTTTCTTCTTTCTTTCGAGGAACCCTATTTAAAAGGTAATTACTAGACAAGATGGCTTCTCCCCACATATTGGGAGGTAGCCCTGAACTTTACAACATCGCATTCATCATTTCTTTCGATGTGCGATTTTGCCATTCAGCAACTCTATTAGATTGAGGTGAATAAGGTGTTGTCACTTCATGGACAATTCCATGTTGTGCACAAAAGCCACCAATCGGTGCTTTATACTCGCCACCTCTATCACTTCTCAATCTCTTAATCTTTTTACCAAGTTGATTCTTAACGTCGGTTTTGTAGAAAACAAATTTCTCTAACGCTTCATCTTTGCACTTTAGCAAATAAACATAGCAATATTTCGTCCTATCATCAATGAACGTGATAAAATACTTATTACCGCACGTGTTTGAACCGATTTCAAATCACAAACATCACTGTGAACTAATTCAAGTGGTTCAGTACCCCTTTCAACCGTTTGAAAAGATGATCTCGTTAACTTTGCTTCAATGCAAATTTCACATTTTTTTTCTAAGTCAATTTGGAATGTTGGTATATGGTTCAAGTTAATTAATCGACGCATCGAATCAAAACTAACATGACCTAGTCTACCATGCCATAAATTGGAAGACTGAATCAAATAAGCAGAAGAGGTACTTGCATTCATTTCATTGACAATAGTCATTACATTGAGTTTGAACAACCCATCGGTTGCATACCCGTTCCCAACAAACATTCCTGCCTTAGACAGAACAACTTTATTAGACTCTATTACAATGTGAAACCCATTCTTGTCTAGCATGAATCCTGACACAAGGTTCTTGCGCACTTCTGGCATGTACAACACATCTGTGAGTGTCAGAGTCTTGCCGGAAGTCATCTTGAGCTTCACAGTTCCTTTGCCTTAAACAGTGGCAACAACAACATTTCCTATGTAGATCTTCTCTCCATAGATTGGTTCAAAGGTGGTGAAATGACTTCGATGAGTGCACACGTGTCTGGACACGCCAGTATCCATCCACCACTCCTTTGGGTTGGACTCCACCATGTTCACTTGGGTCACCACAGCAACCAGGTGCATGTCCTCCACATCCTTAGTGATGTCTTTGATCATGGTCGCCTCATGATCCTTTTTTGGGGAGCGACAATCAGCAGACCTGTGACCTGGTTTTCCACAATTGAAACAATTACATTTGAATCTGTGGTTCTGCTTAGAGACAACACCAGTAGTCCCTAGCTTCCCCTTGCCTTTGTTAGCGTTCTTGCTCTTGGCCTTGTTCTTCAAGTTTTGGCCTTTAAATTCTCTACAATGTTGACCTTAGCCTCTACGCCATTGGACGCCTTTGATTCTGATTTCCTGTTATCTTCTTCAATGCGAAGCCTAATAATTACATCATCCAAGGACATCTCCTTGCGCTTGTGCTTGAGGTAGTTCTTGAAATTCTTCCAGCCTGGAGGCAACTTTACAATGATCGCCCTTGGAAGGTTTTGCTTAAAATCATCCCTTCAGCCTGAATGTCATGCAGAATCAGCTGGATCTCTTGCACTTGACTATCAAAACTCTTGGAATCAACCATCACATAATCAAGGAACCGTCTGACTATGAATTTCTTCGAGCCGAAATCCTCCGATTTATGTTTCCGGTTGATGAATTCCCACAAATCTTTAACCATTTTAAACTTTCCATACACATTATATAATGAATCATGAATAGCATTCAAAATATAACCACGGCAAAGAAAATCTGACCGTTTCCACGACTCATATGCATGAACAGTTGGTGTGTCAGAAGTTCCTTCAGGCACCGGAGGAGCTACACCCGTCAGTAAACCCGCCAAGTTTAGCGTCGTCAGGTAGAACAACATCTTTTCTTGCCACACCTTGAAAGTTGCTGTCCTTCCACTGAACTTTTCCGTCTTCTCCACATGGCTAGTTGGGACATTGAGCACAACGGGAATAGCAACAGACTCGAAACCTCGGGAACAATAGTAACACCCGGCACATCAGCAGCGGGACTAGAGCTAGTAACAATGGCACCACCATCATCAACCTTCTCAGCATCAGCCATCACGAATACACAATGAACAAAGAAAGTTTTTTTTAAGATTGTTGGGAAAAATACAAAGAGTATTCGCAAAGGCTAAGGAAAATCAGAATAGGAAAAATCTGAGACTCGTGAAAACACGATCTCCTTAAAACACATTTGCCCCCTCCTAAGGTACATGAGGATCTCGAGCAACTGTTTCCCAGGATACAACGAAAAAACAGAGACTACTTAGCACAAATGTAACTCTACAAATGAAATAGAACTTAGAACAAATTGATGAACACCGAAAAATGGAAGAAATAAAGGCTCAAAAGAATCTGAGAAGAGATGGGAGAAAAGGTGTGTTAAACTTTGGAAAATTAATGCCTATTTATAGGCTGGAGAAACCTTTCAATTGGCAGCAAACCTTGTAACGGTTTCAACATTTTATTTCTGTTAAATGTAGAGAATTCATGGCACAAAACCTCTAAAACATTTTTGACCAACCCAACAGTCAAATGAATTAATTTCTGCCTTTTAATATAATTAAATCTGCCAATTCATTCTGATCATTCATGAGAGCAAAACAATTGCAACGTTTCCGTTTCATTTGGCTGAGCAAAACGTGGATTGATCAGGCCCACCGGAGTTCGGTTCGGCATTCGTGTCTGCAGGTCGGCGCACACATGAGTCAAGCTATTTTGGCCCCGAATCGGACCTCCATTTGCAATCCTGCGCGGGCGCACGTGAGTGGGAGAGATGTGGTATAGTATTGGCAAGTCAACTTACAAGTCAATTTCGGGCTCTCACTTATAAAGTGAGCTCCAGCTCTTCCAAACATCAATGTGGGATAAAGTCCCTTAACCTTAACTCTTTTCCAACTCTTGAGAAACTTAATTGGCATTCACTTACTACTCATTTTCAACACCATGCTAATTGGTCTTTGTATCCTTTAAACCCCCGGCTCTTTCCCATTTCCATCATTGCCAAAAGATGTTGTACATATACAACATTGCTCAAATCACAAGTTGAAAAATCTACAAATAGCATAAAGAACTGCTGCGATGCAATGACACACACTCTTACATCCTCGGCTCATTTTGATGGCTCCACATTCTCTTCCCATTAATCACTTTAGTTTCAGCTTGCTATGGACTAGGTAGTTGGGAGATTAAAAGGATAATTCGGAGTTCATCACGAAATTTCTTCATCCAAACAAAGAGGGTCTCTCCCAACTTTTTGTCTCTTTACATCCCACAATGGAAATGGGAACCGATAGTGCTACTTGTTCCATCATAAACGAGATTAGTAATGAAGTGTAATAACTCAGTCACCACAGCGAAACTAGTCTAATGGTGACAGAGTTAGAAATCTATAATAGTCTGACAATCCTAGCTAGTAAACGTTTCCGGTTCTACGAAGATGGATATTTTAGCGTGGCTTGTGACAAAATGTCAGGTTGTTCTACCATTGTATGTCAAAACCGTGGCTGGTGATGTTAATAGATTAGTACACCTGTAATATGTTTAGTTCATATTTTAGGCTATGCCACTTTCTCTGTAGCAAAAAAAAAAAGAAAAAAAAATCGTCACTCAAACTGTTTATTTATTTTACACTGGGAACGGACATATCAAACACATACATAAACATAAACACAAGTTGTAAATAAGGGTACATGAAAATAGTAATTAAAAGGATGGATCGACGCATGACGCCAAATTTAGGAGGAAGTAATGTTCCTGCTATAATCTAGGCAAGAAAGATCACATGTCCTGATGCACTGTTGCCGGCGAGGCAATCCAGGGAAGATCACGTCTTGTCATCCAATGGCAAATGGGGCGTTCTCCTAAAGACATGTTGAGTTGCCTAAAAGCCTCATGAACAGCTAGCCATTCAGATGTATCCATGTGACACATTACCAGGACCCTGTTCACGTGAGCTTTCATAACAGGCTCAACCAAATCAACGGTGTAGTGATGAGTTGTTGGAAGACTGTGACAAAAGTACGTCGCGAAGGGGAACCAAAGTTCATGACAGGTTACAACTTTTTGATGTTCATGACCAGAATTATGATGTTCATGGAAGAATGGTTTGATGTTTCCGATCTCAAGCTCTTTTCCTCCTAATCCTAACGTGTTCTCGGTAGTCAGTAAAGTTACTTTGGTTGTCTTTGTCTCCAATGTTTCCTTGGCGAAATGTATCAAACCCTCCAGGGAGTTAAGGCAGGCTTTGATCTCCCCGTGAATACCATCTTTGATACCACACATCTGAGTGCTTAGTTCCACACCTTCTTTCACAGCCTGTATAGCGAATAAATCTGGAAAGATTTTCTGAAGATGAGGTGAAGAATTGATAGGCATTACGGATGCGAGCTGGAAAAGAAGAAATAAGTGAGGAGGCGGAGCTTTTCTGTACTCCAAAAACGGCAGTTTGACTCATTTCCCTTGTTGGAGAACTGATGTAAGCCTGAAGAAAAGTGAGCCTGCCCCCAGCCTGCGACTCATCATCAGCAGCTGATTTTGTTTCTTCGAGTGCAGCACTCAGGCTTTGGGAGTCAGGCGTTTTACCATAGAAGAATGGAAATAGGTGTGATAATTTTTCTTGGGACTAGGGTCAGGCTTTTTACTATAGAAGAATGGAAGTGGGTATGATAATTTTTCTCCGGACTGAGGCTCAGGCTTTTTACCATAGAAGAATGGAAACAGGTATGATAAGAAATTTTTGGACTGAGGGTCAGGCTTTTTACCATAAAAGAATGGATATGGGTATGATAATTTTTCTCCGGACTAGGGGTCAGGCTTTTTACCATAGAAGAGTGGAAATGGGTATGATAATTTTTCTTCGGTCTGTGGGTCAGGCTTTTTACCATATAAGAATAGAAATGGGTATGATAATTTTTCTTCAGACTGGGGGTCAGGTTTTTTCCATAGAAGAATGGATATGGGTATGATAATTTTTCTTCAGACTGGGGGTCAGGCTTTTTACCATAGAAAAATGTAAATGCGTATGATAATTTTTCTTTGGATTGGGGGTCAGGCTTTCTACCATAGAAGAATAGATATGAGTATGATAATTTTTCTTCGGACTGGGAGTCAGGCTTTTTATAATAAAAGAATAGAAATGGGTATCATAATCTTTCTTCGGACTAGGGTTTAGGCTTTTTACCGTAGAAGAATGTAAATGGGTATGATAATCTTTCTTCGGACTGGGGGTCAGGCTTTTTACTATAAAAGAATGGATATGGGTATGATAATTTTTCTTCGGACTCGGGGTCATGCTTTTTACCATAAAAGAATGGATATGGGTATGATAAATTTTTTTTCGGACTGGGGGCCAAACTTACCATAGAAGAATGGAAATGGATATGATAATTTTTCTTTGGGGGATTGGAATGATATTTCCTGTAATGGAGTGCTAGCCAAGTTAGCCATGGAGCATAATTTAGCTGCAGAAGGAATGGAGGAATAACTTTCTTCATCATTATTAGGTGATGTGAAAGAAGCGAACAAAGCATCAGAATCTCCATTGGATAACGGAGATAGGTTTGAAGCAATTACTTCGGGTATCGGGTTGTTAACATTTCTATACCAAAACTCAAGCTGAGAAAGAGCAACGTAGTAAGGAGAATGATGTGATGATGTTAGTTCAGCCGAATCCACCACTTGCAACACTTTTGAGAAAGATATGATAAAAATAAGAAACATCATTGCTAGGCTTATTGAGGAAGCAATTCTAATCATGATGATGACACAGGAGATTAGTTTTATATTATGGTTTTTTCTTTTCGTTTTGGGATGAGAAATGAATTGCTCTAACCCTGTATTTATAGTTGAACGAATACAGAGACAATCACTTGCTACATTGCTACATATGCAGAGACAACCACTTAGAGAAACCAATAATTTCGTCTAAACAATTAATTGATGATTGTGATGTGCTTCTGCTTTCCTTTACTGCCGCGTGAAAAATAAGCCTTTGCATTAATATGGGGGTAGGGATGAAAGGACCTACAATAATAATTCAGTTGGTTACAGAATCTTTCTATCGTTTTTTTTTTCTTTGCTGTATTCTTAAAAAAAATTTAATTATGGCTCTCAGCCATTAAGGCCCCAATTTAATTAATTAATAAATATTGAACACCATAAAATTGAGATTGTGCTATTAACTTTTCTACATCTTTTACGCTGAAATTATATATGTTTTTCTTGTCTCAAAAAGTAATTTACCCTGAGTTTTGAAATTCGGGCATTTAAGCTTACAGATCTCTTTTTAAAGGAAAGAAAGAGAATCGGTGGACACATATAATGAGGGGAAAATTAACTCCAAGGATTTTGAGCCTCAAACCTCAAAACTCAAGAGAGGAGCATGTAATTAGATTTCCGGATCATTATTACTTTTTAAAATTAAGAAGAATACAAATATCAACATTAAAGGTGTAATATATATTTTGGATGGAGGGAGTATAAATCAATGACGACAAAAAAAAAATAAAATAAAATTATAACCAGCAATCCCGCGCCAGCCGGAGGGAGCTAGACCCTCTGTATAATGTAAATCTATTACAGTTTTTCTTAGTAAGAACCGCCTTTTACCGTTCAAGCTTGGATACTGGTTTAAAAATAGGATCCATAATTTGAGCTCGAGAGGGAGATTTTTTACAGTTATTCTACTAAGCAGCAAGGTGGGCGCGCGGTTTGTGCCTTTTTCCCCTTTTTTATATATATTTTTTAATTTATTATTTTAATATTTTTTAATTTTTTAAAATTATTTTATTTTATCCTCTTAATTTTAAAATAAATACAAAATGTATTTAAGAAATGGGAAAAAAAAAAAAAGGCAATGAACAGGCGCGCTTTGCCTTCCCATTCCAATGTGATCTAAGCTGCGTAGTATTATTTGTGAGACTTTTGCCGTGATTCTATCTTAGATTCCTAGTTTTGTAAGTGTACACTTTGATCTTCACTATGCTTAATTTTTATTTTTTTCTTAAATTCCCTCTCTCCCAAATTAAATTTTGCGATTTACACTATTTTTAATATAAATCTCAAAACTCAATAGAGTAAATATAATTTTTTTAAAATTATGCTAAAGAAAGAAAACGGATGAATTCTATAGTACATGTTGGGCTTGTGTGTGTGAAGAGTTTGTTCAACCCTTAGAAAAAGAAAGATCCCAACTGATATGCTCTGCATCAGCTATAGGGAGAGAAGAACAGCAAATTAAGGTTCTGATGAGCCGCACAAACCTGCATCACAGATTGCGAATCGAAGAAATTCTGAGAGATCTCACTCAAAGGGAAATGACTTGCCGAGCAAGCCCACATCTCGCAAGTGGCAGCTTTCACATTCCGACAAGGCGGAGCCGTTGAGGGACAATTATATGTTGAAGTTTGTGGGTATTACTTGCATTCAGAATCCAATCGGCTCTACAAATTGAGTTCTTACTGTTTTATACTACTATTACTTTTAAATGATGGAAAAGACAGATTACCTGATCATATGCATCCATTTAATATTTACATGGTACCGCGTGAAAAATCTAGGTACGATCGGCGGACGAAATTATTAGCACTCTTCATGATAAAATAATTGTCTTAGTTTTTTACTTTTACTATTTTTTCTTGGTTCTAAAGGAAAAGTACACCCATTAAATTTTGTTTGAGCATGAATTTCAAAATTTTATATAAATTATTTTTTTAGAACAGACAGAGCGTAATTTAAATTAAAATAAAAAATTCGAATTGAATAATTATTTCAGGACAAAAGAAATATTATTTAATTGTATTCGAGCTCTCTTCTACTACCAGCACCTTCATCCTAAACCTTTAAAATAATCTATTCTTCCCCATCTTCACGGCATGGGACCCATCTTTTAGCCATGGGGATGGCAAAACTGTTGTGCTCAATTTCTTTCTTATCATTTTAGTATTCTTGAATCATTTGGATTATTCCCAAGTTTTAGTCAATAAATAGATTCTCGTTTTTTGATTGTGTTCACTTCTTTCAGTATACTTTAATCTACCGATTCTAAGAGTTATTTACAGTTTGTTGGCCAAGTTTTAGTTAATAAATAGATTCTCGTTTTTTGATTGTGTTCACTTGTTTCAATATACTTTAATCTACCAATTCTAAGAGTTATTTACAGTTTGTTGGCGATCGATGATCGATGCTTGAATTTTTAATTGTAGTTCTTGTACGGAAGATGCATATCTTACTATATTATAAACAAAAACCACACTTAAGAGAAAGCACCACCATTTTCCATGTGGCATTTTCACATCATATTTTTAAAATAAATTTTTATTTCCACATCTCCTAAACTTAAAAGGCAAATGCAGTCCAAATTTATTTCCACCTCCTATTTTCGTCAAAACAAACAAAAAAAAAAAAAAAACCACGGGTTCATAAAAAATCCAAACCCTCATCCCCATCGCCACGACAATCGACTCCTTAATCAATCCCTTCTTCACAATTAAAAATAAATAAATTCCTCATCAATCATCAATTGAGAATATGTGGTGAATAATACTCCTTTCCTATTAACATGTTCAATCTTTTCATTAGTGAAGATTAACTACATCCTAATCGGATAAAATTTTAACTTCAAAAAATATTCTCTTTACCTCTCTATATAAACACAAAGGAAAAAAATTTCATTGATCTTGCTTCGGCCGTTGTGGTCGTGCCATTATAGGTATTAAAATTTAAATGATTTTATTTCCACAGATAATTGGTTTGGCTTTTATTATTTTTTATTTTTCCAGTTCAAGAATAGTGTTATTACTATTATTTTTATGCGTCCATCCGTTACAGCTACCGGAGCCGTTGTTAGGTAGTATGATGTGATTTCTTATTTGGTTAGTTAGTCTAGAATTTTTGTATGATTTTAGTTATGTTTGGATTGAATTGATTGATTGGAATTTTGTTACAAAATGTGGTTTTTAAAATTTTTTTTTTATGTTTCATTCAATTAGAGTGGTTTTCTTTTTTTAATTATAGAGTCTTAGGTTTTTTTTCCGTATATGGCCAGTTATGAAGTGTGTTTTTTCTTTGTTTAACTGCTTTCGATTTTGTTTCATACTCCCAGTTGACTAATTATTATTATTATTATTATTATTATTATTATTATTATTATTATTATTATTCACATCATACTTTCGATTTTAAGAATATACTTTTTTGGATTTGGTTTTTGGATTTTTTTTAGTTCCTCATCATATAAATAGTTCAGGTCGCTTCTTTTAACTAATTTATGGGGAAGCCTTTTATGAATTTGAGGTGGAGAGGGAAGGAATGATGTTTCTATGTTTATTTGTGTTTTTATACATCATGTTTACCTACAGAAAAAAAATTCTCAAATTTTAATGGGCTATCTTTTACTTTTTGGTTTTTTTATTTGCCATGGTGAGGTGAGTTCTTTTTTGCTATACCTTGAAACCTATATAAATTTACATTATTTTCATTCTCATATTTGTGATCAACCAGTTTCAACAATTAACCAGTATCAAAATCATATTTTTGATATTTTACTACCTATAAACTTTTGGAAGAAATAATTCCAACAATTAAGCGTATACCCTTTGGAGGAAGCTAACTACAAAGTTATTATAAATCTCCAAAAATAAGTATTGATTTGGCACAACTAATGGAGAACATCAATAAATTATTTTACTAATATTTAAACTTATTAGGATGCTTTTATATTTTTTCTAGCATTTACTTCAAGACATATATTTGATCAAGTTTATTTATATTTAAGAAGTAACACTTATAAAATATTTCTAAAATCTTCAAACATTTCTAAAACGTACCGGGCCAAATACAATTTATTTTTATGCCAAATACAAACATCACACTTATAAAACATTTCTAAAATTCTTCAAATATTTTTAAAATATATCGGACCAAATACAAAATATTTTTTTCCAGATACAAACATTTCTAAGATCTACAAATATATATAATTCGCGACCAGACATCACTAGTATCTATAGATCTAGTTATCAAATCATATTTTGTACGACACATGTCCGACAATTAAAGAGTTCCGAAGCTATCTGAATCACTTTGATTAGAGTGGAAGTAACTATTTTTCATTTGATGTTATGGAGAGTTGGAATCTTTCAAAAAATATAAATTTGATTACCAATCATTATTGAACGAATTCCAAAAGAATTAATAAATTTTTTTAATTAAAAATGATATGAACTATTTATAAATTCAACAATGATACAATCAGCGAAAAAGTATAGTGAAAACTAATAGAGAATGATGTGTTTTTTATAATTAAGAGTAAAAGTGTAATTTTTTAAGAGAAATATATAATTTTTACGGGAAAATGACTATAAAATAGGGGCCAATTCAGTCACTATTTATTTTTAATTTATATAGTCACTATATTTATCATTTTCCTTATAAATTTTAGTATTGAGAAGAGTTTTAGTAGTTGCTTGTTTCAGATGGTAAAAATAATGAAACTTTGGTAGTTTAGTAGTGGTTTTCCCCCCTTAAGAAAACTATTTAGATTAATAATTTATTAATTTATATTTTATTTAATATGTCTCTAACTTAATAATTTTGTGTGACAAAATAGTACTAATTAAAAGAATTTTTAATGTATTTAAAAAACAAAAAAGGGAAAAAAGTATTTTAACTGGCAAAAATCTCAATGTAGTTAATTTTGCCAAACAAAAGTTCCCCCATAA